TCCGTCGACAAATGCCCATTTACTATTCTCATGACTGACTTTTTCATCCCTGGTGAGTGCCTCTGTTTGAGGGTGTAACAAGTACCCCATTGTCATCTATGATAATTACTCTTTATACGATTTGACACATGCTCCTTTTCTTTTCTGATAAGTGTCCCCTTTTCCTTTCATCATTAAATGCGCCCCAATTTCAAGCGACTAGGAGCAATTTCCCCCAAAGCTCGCTCGCTACGCTCGCACGCATTTATAGATGATAAAGATATGTTACTTACCAAAGGTCTTTTCAGTCTTCCGTTATGAGAATGCGCTTATAACCCCATCAGGATTAATTTTTTTACTCTTTATAAGATGTAATTTTTCGCGCTGCGACCTCTCAAATCTTAAATTTTTCCTCGCTCGCTCGCAAATAATTTTTCAGACCATCACACCCAACTGCAAAGCATGATGCTTAAAGGTAAAGACCAGTTATGGTCATGCGATTGCATTGTGAAAGAAACGTTGTGGAATCGATCAGAAAAGGTTGATCATCTAGCATCTAGCATCCAGCATCTGCAAGGTTCTGGAATCATCAAAATGATAAGAAATTTGGCCCATTCTTCGTAAAGTTACAAGCACTATACACAGAAAGATGTATATGGGACTACCCTATATCTCTCACAGACCATGAGAGAAACAAATTTACCAAATATATGAATTAGTAGGCGGTTTCCCGGCAAATTTTTTATCATCATGTATTAGTCAAAACATATTCTTTCACATGATTGGTAATGAGAGCTTCCATTTCATTTTTTGAAATTGGGGCGTTTCCAATACTGGTCTTTACCTTTGAGCAATATCTTGTATGGTGTATAAATTGAAACAAATTTTGAAATCATCCCTGATAATGTAATCACAATGTAGGGTATATACCAATGTCTACAAAATTGTATATTTTGGCTTTGAGAATTCCCTTTGAATCCAATCCAATCCAAAAGATATATGATATAGCGCCTTTTCCTTGCAGTTCGACAATGTTTGGGCCACTTAAAAACAAAAGTTAGACACTTCTCACAGATCAGCAAAGTATATGTAGGCTGGTAATAAAGTAATTTCTAGCAGAAAAGATGTGACTTGAGTAGTTTCTTGAACTGGTCAACAGATGAGGCCATCTGCACAGCAGTAGGTAGTTGGTTCCACAGTTTTGCAGCAACCGATGGAAAAGACAATTCACCAGCACGTTTCTTAGAGAGACACTGAGTGAGCCAGATGGATGATGATGAGCGGGTATTTCGGACTCGAGGACGACGAACCAAGCAGTCAGCTATGTACGGGGGACATCAGTGGTTGAGAGACTTGTAGACCAGTAGTAGGATCTTAAAAGCTATTCTCTGTCGTACAGGCAGCCAATGGAGTTCAAGTCGAAGTGGTGTTATGTGAGTCCGAAGAGGAGCAGAGAAGACAAGCCTTGCCGCTGACTTTTGGAGTCTCTGAAGACGATCAAGGTCCCTCTGGCTGAGAACACTGAAGAGACTGTTGCAGTAGTCTAGTCTGGAAAGGACGAGAGCCCTCGCCGCAGCGTGGCATGTTGACTGATCAATAAACCGCCTCACCCTCCACAGGTTACGTAGGTGGTACTTGATGCTTCTGCTGAGAAGGTTAACATGCAGACTTAAGTTCACAGATGGTTCAAGTGTTACTCCCAGATTGCGGATGGACTTACATGGTGGGAAGGATTTCTCACCAATCATCAGTTTGACATCATTCATTAGATGGGACGACCGATGATGCGGTGAAGCAGAGACAAAGAATTCTGTCTTGCCATCGTTGAGTTTGAGCTTGAAGGTACCTTTTTTTCCAGAAAGTGCCTTTTTTTCTTGGTGCCCCCCCCCCCCCTTCTTTGGAAGTTGCTCTGCCGCCCCTGAATAGAATAGTACCTCTGAAGCATTGGGAAGGCAACAGGTTATGTGGGAGTGAACATAGATATATCTACACGTAGATGGGGAATGTACCGGTAGTTCAAAGGAGCTGATTAGTATACAAATAATAGACATCAGTGAAGGCATTGATTACCCACACAAGGTACCTTTGGCGATAGCCGACGGTGTTTTGACTGTTTCGAAGGTATAGTGCGGTACGGTATGTAATCCCGTAGGATTTTTTTGGCCAAAGTCGATTATTTTTTGTTTGTTGCTGTTTTTGCTTCAAATTAAGGGTCCCAATCGGCCAAAAATGATGGGGTTCCAATTTTCAGACCCCTCCTTCATTTCCTGGGGGTCCATATTGGGCGCCAAAATGGCATATATAACGCGCAATAGGGAAATTTGGTGTCTTCGGGAAAATTTGAACCCCATCAATTTCTGATAGCTTGGACCCCAATGAATCCAAAAATGCACCCAGTGTGGGTAATTTTACTCATGCCCGAACAAAATGATGTATTATTTGTTTATTAGATGATATTTTCTTTGTTTCATAAAAAACTATGCTTTATAGCATGATTTTACTAATGACCGGTCATAAGTAAAATTACGAGTTAGGCAAAATAAATGCCCGGTCACGTGCACGCTCTCAACCAACCATTTGATTAGGATCTGCTGCATCATCTCATAAAGCCTTCTCATGCATCCCTTAGTCACATGGCCCAACTGATAAACACCGATTCCACACCTTGACTATTCGTCATGATACCAATAGGCCATTCTCGTATTCGTAATCAAATTCAATGCACAACTCTAAGGCACATAATTTCAAAAAAATTATGTCAACAATAAAGATATATATCTATTTTATTTCAAAGATAAGCTAGCTAGGTACAAAGAGTTGTAGCTTGACATAAAAAATTTATAATCCATACAAATTATATTTTATGTAATAGATTTCACGGGTTATTGTACTAACAGTTTTAAAAAAATAATTACATATATGCATAAACATGTATCAATATATTTTACTACATGAATAAGTATGAATGATTCATAAACTATATCATACAGAGTATTGTCATACACTTTAACCATTCCTATTTAAGAAATGGTTTATTTACATATTTTTAAAAAATCTGTACTGATCGATATGAGCTTAAAACGTTCCAACATACGTTTAAACACGCATACACACAAATAGTATTGTACGACATGCACTCCATACAATCACTCCATGGTTGAATTCTCTACATACACTACATTATGACCTAACCCTTAAATCCACAAGCCTTGCTTTCAACCAAGGTCACCTTATCTTTATATTGTAACGCCATATTCTGTTAACTTGTTATATTCATGTCATGTTTGTTATGTGTGTTATGGAAGAAAGATAAATAAAACTTGAACTTGACCTTAAAATCCAATATCAACTTCAAACCTTCAAACAAAAAACCCAAGTATTCATGCAGAGAAAACGAACAAATAACAACCTATACGTTGCTTCTGATATGCAGGTTAAGTATATTTCATGATAAGTATATTGAGTTTTGTAAAGTTAGTGTGCGAGATGAATTGACACATTTACATTACTATTACTTTTCTCATTAGAAAGAAGTTCTATCCTAAACCCTTAGAGAGATATTCATTTTATATCAATGTGTAGTACCAAATGCCTTTATAAGAAAAGTGTGTACAGCTAGAAATCAACCTCAGAATTCTTTACTCAACATTGTATGGTCTAACGGATAAGGCGTACGAAGAAACTAAAGAGTGACAAGAACCCCTGCATCTACACAACCGAAGCAGCAAGATGAGCTTATGAAAGTATGAGCAAAATTTCTTTTCAAAAGACCCCGTGGTTTTCTTTCTCTGAGTGAGAATTGAAGCCCTCCTTTTGTACACAGTAAAAGGATGAATAAAACACTGCCAGTTTCAAAATACTAATTTGAAAAAAGAACAACTGTTTATTTTTTGTTATGACATTTCATTGCCTTCCTCATACATTCACATTACAAGAAAATATCACAATAAGTAATATAAAACAAGATCTTTGATACAAAACACTTCATGAATGATATCAATCAATAAACAATGAACATACACAAATCCTAAATTACGCATGACTGTACATTTTTTCTTTCATATACACTGTTGCTCATATAGTTGGAAAAAAATTGTTTTACCCCAATTTATGGAATTATTTTGATAATGATTAATTCATAATAGATCTAGATAATAGTAGACATTCTCAGATTTTATTGAATAATAATTTGCCATTGTTTGTTTTGCGTGACTGCTAAAGCATGTGTATGCTACTATGCTTATCAACTAGGGGACCTACGCCCTTCAGTCATAAATAACAGTAATGAGGATTAATGCCTCATAAAAGGGCACTAATATGGCACATCGACACGGTTTTGATACTGGGGCCTCACAGTTACGAGGCCAACGCTTTGCCACTGAACCATGACTGTACCGAGCGGGGGCTAGGGTAGGAGGCAGTTCCCAACCTCCTGGGGCCTCGTTACTGTGAGGCCCCATGAAAATGAAAATCTTGGAGCTCGAACCATAGATGAAATTATAAGATCAGTCCCAAAGAAAGCCTTTGGATGTGTTGCTCTACCAGTTTTTAATTCAGTGCCAATCATTAACAATGTTCCGGACACATTGCACTTGTTCCTCAGAATTGCAGACTAAATGGTTTACCAGGTAGTCAAATACCTCCAAGATGAGGATAATTTCGTCAAACTAACTGAAGAAAAACTTTCCAAGTGTCAGAATTTACAACGGTTCAAATCCTTCATCAAACACATTGGAATCCATGAATGGAAATTTTGTATTAGTGATGGAAAACTGACTTATGATTCATTCACTGGTCCTGTGCACAGAAACATCTTGACAAACATTGACTTTGATACCCTAATCCCAAATCATCCAAAATTGGCTGGTATCAAGTCATTGTGGGCTGGTATCAAGTCATTGTGGGCTGATTTTAAGGTTCTCATGGACAGACTTACATGAAGTCTAACCATGACAAACTTTGAGATTGATGACTTTGAAAAGGAAGCAAGAAAGTGGGTGCATTTATATGGCACTTCTTTATTTCTTTCTAAAGATGTTACACCTTACATGCATATTCTGTTTAATATGTCTTCTTCTTCTTTTTCTTTTTTTCCTTCTTCTTCTCTTTAGGTTTATATATGGATATATATATATATATATAATGTAAAAATAAATCTACCTTGTGTCCTATATATATATATATATATATATATATTTAGAAGTATTTCTTTCTGTTTCATGAAATATAACAAGAACCATTAAATTTGTTTGGTTATAGGTGATGCTGCTGCCCTACCACATAACTGGCTAGGTGCACTTCAAGACGATGGTATTGCTCTTGAAGAAATGGAAGAAAGACCACAGAGAGACTCCCTTGAGGTTGAGGGAACCACTGACCAGCCAGATGAACAACTGGAAGAAAGACCACAGAGAGACCCCCTTGAGGTTGAGGGAACCACTGACCAGCAAGATGAACTGGAAGAAAGACCACAGAGAGACTCCCTTGAGGTTGAGGAAACCACTGACCAGCCAGATGAACAACTGGAAGAAAGACCACAGAGAGACCCCCTTGAGGTTGAGGAAACCACTGACCAGCCAGATGAACAACTGGAAGAAAGACCACAGAGAGACCCCCTTGAGGTTGAGGAAACCACTGACCAGCCAGATGAACAACTGGAAGAAAGACCACAGAGAAACCCTCTTGAGGTTGAGGAAACCACTGACCAGCCAGATGAACAACTGGAAGAAAGACCACAGAGAGACTCCCTTGAGGTTGAGGAAACCACTGACCAGCCAGATGAACAACTGGAAGAAAGACCACAGAGAGACCCCCTTGAGGTTGAGGAAACCACTGACCAGCCAGATGAACAACTGGAAGAAAGACCACAGAGAGACCCCCTTGAGGTTGAGGAAACCACTGACCAGCCAGATGAACAACTGGAAGAAAGACCACAGAGAGACCCTCTTGAGGTTGAGGAAACCACTGACCAGCCAGATGAACAACTGGAAGAACTTATTTCCTCACAAGGTTTGATACTTTTCTGTTGCATTTAATGAAATAGTAGTTGTCAAACTTGTTCCAAGTAATTAACTAATGTCTAAGGAAGGAATGATTCAATTTTGAGTTCATATCTAGGGTGAAGGGGATCATGATTGTCATTGTTAAGATTTCACTCATTTTCTGGAAAAATGACAGTGACTAGATGGAAGCAGTATGTCTTTTATTCATTTATGTATTAATTTCTTCATGCCTTCCCTAATCTTGGTAATTTATATGATTTGATTTGATTTTTTTTTTTTTTTTTGATTTTTTTGATTTTTTTTTTTTTTTTTTTTTTTTTGGGGGGGGGGGGGGGAGGGGGAGGGGCAAGTAGGTAGTTTTAATACTCCATCTGGTACACAATTAGTTACCTCTTGATGCATGCCCCCAGACAGTACACTTACTCTCCCTCCCATATTAGCAACATATTGACTCGTTCCCAGATGAATCACCTCTAAAAATATACCTCCCCTACGAATTTATTTGATGAACATCCCTAAAACAAATCAGTTACATGCATTTCTTCCTTATCCCTACTTAGGTAGTTGTCAGCTGGAAAATATATAGGAAAGATCTGGACATAAATCCCTACACTGTTTATACATTCTGTTTGATAAAGAACCAGTACAGCTGTCCCCATCCCATAGCATGTAGTTTATTTGGGTTTGTTCTCCCATTTTGATTTCTTCCAAAGAAACAAAGTGAATGAGGATAGTCATATGAAGTTACTGTGAGAAATGGGATTTTGTTTTGCCTGTATTGAAAGGAGGTAGTTTTTCTGGGGGGAGGGGAGCAGGGGAGGGTAATTGATGTTGTTGTAACAAAATAATCTGATTATCATAGTTTTCATTTTTTCACAGATGGTGACACGTCAAAAGAAAGTTCAAATCTGGCAGTGATGTTCGACACACTGAAGAGAAAGCTGGAAAATAATCCAGAGACATTCAAGGAGCCAGTCAATGCCATGTACCATACTTTCCAAAAGATGACTGATAATAATATGGTGTCAGCCATGTTCATGTTTGGAAACTATGGTACAACTAACTTGGCTCCCCGCAAGTTCCTTGGTTCATCATTAAGATCACACAGACCAAACATTGGTATACAACCAACTGCAATTGCACGACGGAAAGCTGCAATGGGGGAAGGAGACGTCCGACATCTGGCAGACCAACCAAAGATGCTGCTGTAGCTGAACATGGCTACTCTAGGACGAGGTCAGAGCGTGTGCTGGACGTGCATTGAACAAAGAGATCCAGAGTTGCCGCTCCTCACTCGCTGAATCATGCTACAAGCATGAATGTAGCTTTGGGGAAAACGCACAGTGCGCAATAAATGTGTAATTGGCAAATTAAGTACACTCAACTAAAAAAAGAAAAAGTAAACACTTTCCCATTCAGATTTTTTTACAGAAGACTTCAATGAAAATTCAATGCAGCATAGCATATATCAAATTAAAGGAAATTTTATGGCCATAAAGAAAAACTTTAGGAATGAGTGAGCACATTTGTTTGATTATTTTGTCTTCCAAGGTACAAAAGTAAAAATTGCAAAAATTGACAGTTTGTCATTCATTGTAAATGCCCTTCTGAATATGCAGGGCTTATGCCGAAAGGGTGGGTAGCGTCGCGTTAACTTGACAATCAGAAGGCTTGATGCCAAAAGTGAAGAGGAAGAAATGCAGATCCTGAAAGAGTCCCGGAAGAAAGTGGCCGACATTCAAAAGACGCTCAAAGATAGGCAGAAGCAAATCCGGATACAGAAGACAGAACAGTTGAAGATGCTAGGCAAAAACAGCTCAACACAAAGATTCAGCATGCCAATGACATACTCTATTGGGGACTCTTGCAAACTGAAGTACATGTAGCTTGACAATATAGCTTTCTACTTCACGACATAGATCAGTGGATGATGAGTCCTAGAGCTGGTACTGAAAGGCAAAAGAAAATGGAGGATCTAGAACAATCGGGCACTTGGCTGCATGCATAGTTTTAGTATACATGTAGATCCGTGGATGGGACCCAAAGGCTAAAGCCCAGTATGTGGACATGAGAGTCAAACCAATCTTGCCCACCTCACGTTCAGACCCAACAAGTGATCAAAGCCCAAGGAGGCAAGGTCTATTGAGACGAGACTCATTGACAGGAGCTAGTGCAGAGGCAGAGGCAAGGCTACACACTAATGAAAGGTTGGAAGTGCACCCAGATGACAGGGCATAGCAAGTATCGAGGAGGTCAGCTAGGGGTAATCAGTTCTTTGATTGACACAACAGCGAATAAAAGGCTGAATTAGAGGCTAAACTAGAATGTTTGATTCTAGAAATCAAGACTTTTGTAACCATGCAGCTAGTGTGTCGTTTAGAGGTCTCAGGCTATAATTTTCAACAGTTGGATCATGACGTGCAGTTGGGTGTGCTGGAACCGGTCCCCATTGGCGAACCTGTTACCTGGTGTCATCGGATGGTAATTTGCGCAAAGAAGAATGGCAAACCGAGACAAACTGTCGATTTCCAGGCGCTCAACGCCCACACTACATGCGAGACATACCACACACCATCACCATTCCACCAGACTCGTTCGGTCCCACACCAGAAGAAGAAAACTGTCTTTGATGCGTGGAATGGTTACCATAGCGTGCCACTCTGCAGAGAGAACCGTCACCTGACCACCTTCATTACCCCCTGGGGCAGATACCGCTAAAAGACGGCCCCTCAAGGATACATTGCCTCTGGTGATGGATACACCAGACATTATGATGAGATCGTGTCAGACATTCACAATAAAACCAAATGTGTGGATGACGCTCCGCTGTGGGCGGACACGTGGGCGGACACGTGGGCGGACACATTGGCGGATAGCTACTTCCAAGCTGTCGAGTGGCTGTTTCATGACATCATGATGGATTTGAATCTCGTCCTGGCACTGGAGAACGCCCTGTTTGTCTTGGATGCAGACAGGCAAGGTGGGAAAGTTTTGACCTAGCGTAGGCTATACACATTATTTATATTGTGTTTTGCTCTAAAGCAATCATAGTTTATCAACTTTATGTTCAAAGTTAGTTTCCCTGTATTTTCCCTCAAATAATATAACTGCCTTTAAGTTGTAAATTAGACTTTTAGTTACTCGGCCTAAATTAGAACTAGTACAAGGCCTAGATCTAATAGTAGTAGTGCTAGATTCTAGTACTACTAGTACTGTGAGGTTGTGCACCACATCGACACAAGTGGGCCACTCATGATGGCAAGACCCAGAAGCCTTGCCCCTGACACTGTAAAAAATGTCAACACATGCTTGATTTGGGAATTATTAGGCCTCCGATCCAAAAGCCAATGGGCTTCACCTTTGCACATGGTACCAAAAACGACAGAGGGAGACTGGCGTCCCTGCAGTGATTACCGTGCTCTGAATAAGGTTACAGTTCCGATCGCTATCCTGTGCCTCACATTCAGGATTATACCACCAGGGGAGTTCCACAGAATGTTAACCCAAACAGAAACACCCAATTGTATGATACAATGTCAATGGCAGTCAATCTAACTAAGCCTGGAATTTCTTAACAATATTGAAGTGAATGTAGCTTGTAAGGTGTTAGATGCTAGGGTCGGACTTTCATATCTCATACAGTTGTACAGAAGAGGCCATAGAGAATTACATTCTACTTAGCAGGGTACAATCAGGCATGGGATATAGTGTATGATCAGTTCGAGCACAATAACAAAATTGCTCACGACTACATAACCTGTGGGATTTAACCACCCCCCAATCAAAGCTAGTGATGGTTTATGGCACTTTACACGTGACATGCGAAGGTGCCGAATGACCATGTCACAGATGGGGTTTGGAGGGCATATGAGCAAGACAGATAACTAAAGATCCAAGAGTTACTCCCAATGTACTTGCAAGGTAAATGGGCGTTAACAGCCCATTCACTTTAATTATTGGAAAAGAAATGCCTGAATATAAATGGATTATTTTGAAACGAGCCCTTGCTCAAGAACTTTGTCAACATTGTCATATCCACATTTGGTGGTTATTGCATTTTCTATTCACATTTGAGATCCAAGACTGGCCTCCAAGTTCAAGATGGCAAGAGCATTCTTATCATCATGGCAAGGTGTCTACAAGCATATTACAAACTTAGCTAGGTGTATGAATGTTGGTCTTGTTAATGCATGTTACGAATTGACTGGTGTAGATCTTCATAGAAGTACAGGAGACTCTCAAACATTAAATGAAAAAATTGCCAAAGTTATTAACAAGTGAACCTGGAACAGAAACTTGAATTCCAAGCAATGAAAGCACTGTAAATGCAATACATGTTGAGGGTAATAAAGAACCTGATAATGAATGTAAACAAAGAAATATCGCATTTGAAGTGATTCAAGAAAACAATTCTGAGTGTAGATCTGAGATACTTAATACCCAGAAATGTGAAACCAAAGATAGTTATACGATTGGTTATGAAAAGTCTCCTAAGCAAGAATATAATGATATGTTTTTCACTGAAAATTTGATGTCACATGTTGAAAGGAAAGGCCTTGAATGTCCTGTAATTTCTCAGAAAAACACTGTGTTGAAGCTTGACAAATCTACCAATGAAGAAATCTGTTGTATAGTAAATCATAAAGAAGTACAGAAAGAACAGTACGCAAACTAATGGTAGTAAAGTTGGCAGTAATACTGGTATGCAAACTTCTGCAGGAATAGAAGGTACATGTAATACCAATTTGTTCTACGAAGGAGAGGTTGTGCAAATTAAAACAATGAAACTGGAGCTGCATAAAATACCTACTTCCACTGGTAAAATGACTAAAAGTAAATCTCAGCAATTTTCTGATGAAGTACATTCTACGTGTAAAGTTTTTTTTTTTAATGTTTACCAGAAAAAAATTATGATTAATGACAAAGATGAAAAGAAGATTGATTTTGAAGCTGCTAGCAAAGATTTATCACTTGAACATGAAAATGATGATGTTGTTGTATAAGGTGTTACAAGAAAAAGAAAAAAACTTCAACCCATGTTTTCTATATTATGCTTCTGTTTAATACTCATCTTCCTTTTATGAGCTTGTTATATTTAAATATATATGTATATTGTAAAGCGCATAGAAATGTCAACAGACACCTTGGAGAAAGCAGTTGTTTAAAGAGGGCATGAGAATGCCTCTATTGGCCAAATATGAACAGCGGAGTGAAGAACTACATACACAGTTGTAATGTGTGTAGAGCCATGGGTACCAGGCAACATAAGAAGCCTCTACGGCAGCATGAAGTGCCAGACAGACCTCAGGCAAATGGTAAAGTGGATAATGGTGTGAAGACTGCCACAGCGCTCCTCAAGAAGGCAAATGAAGGACACCCAGACCCATATCTCAGTTTGTTGGCATTGCTCCATGTAGATCCGGGCCAGTTGAGATGCATACGCTGTGGAGATCCCCATATTTTCGAACAAAGCTAAAGAAAGGAAAATCCAATATGTATAAACATCATGCAGTTCTATGCAACAGTGCGTTCATATTACATCAAGGCATGTGACTGCATTGTAAGTTTCCATTGAAGTCTGATGTCCTCATCCATTCCCAAGTGGCTGACATTGCGTGTAAGAAGGATGCCAAGTTCACTTCTGTAGAGTTCTTCATCAACAACTTCCCCTGCATGCTGCTTCAGGAGGAAGAAGAATGTGAAATTTTATGTACGAAGTGAATAGAGAGCTGTCCACTATGATGGAATCAGTGTTGCCAGCGATTTGCAGAGGCAAACATGATTTACTAGAAAATGTAAATGAGTGTAGTTTGCCTATGTTTTGACCAATTTTGCTCATTTCTTTTTGAAATGCTTTTCAAATTCATGTCCTTTGATAAAACAGTGAAATATCTGGAGTTTGCTTTCCTTATACTAATTATTTTTACATTCCACACACTGTATTATTCTGTTGTTTTTGCAGACTTCAAGAACTAATCCGAAGTGAACATGGTCTAACGTACAAGCATGCTACTGGACGACGAGGTGACAATATATGGCACAAAGGAAGTTCTGCAACTGATACCCGACCCGATATGACTTTTCATGGGAAG